GCTTGAGGGCAGGGTCTCAGACTGCTGTGATTTAAGAAGAGGCAATCCTGCTTTTCCCACTCGCAGCTGCAATTGTCCTGAGCGCAGCAGCTCTAGGCTGTGGAGTGACCGAGCCCCGCAACCTTTACTGAAACTGCAAGGCGAAGTCTTCGTTCGCTAGCTAAAGGCTCAGCCAAGCTTCCCCTCAGAACCCCTTCCTGTCTCTTTTCCCCAGTCGGGATGTGATCCTTGCTCTCAAATGCCATCTTGCATCCACGAGTTTTGCCCCTTGCACAAAAATATGTTCTCTTTCATTTGCGGGTTTAATTAAAAAAAAAAAAAGTAACAATATCGCACGGGGTTCTGAGTCGTCCTGAAATCCATCCCGCTGTTGAAAACTGAAAAATGGGTGTAATTTGCGCTCGGAAAGTGATGTTAGGGTCACGGCAATTTCCCGGGCCGTTATTTATTTTTACTTTAAAGTCTTTAGGGAAGATTTGCTTATGTACTCGGAAACCTTCCAATGCGAAAATACCAGCAATCCCGCTCGCCTTCAACGCGGGAGGGGGGAAGGAGGTGGAGAACAATTACTGAGTGACGCTAATATGGGGAAACTGAAAAGAAATGTCGATTGTTTTTATTGTAATAGAAGGAGTGAGCAAACAGAAAAACCAACCCCGGGTGATCGGAAACAGGCAGACCGAGAATTAAAAGCGGGTTTCAGGCCGCAACAGGCCCCTCCCCTGCCCTCGGAAGAAGAAAGCGGACGGTGAGCGCTAGCAGTCCGCGGCGCAGATCCCGCAGCCTTTGGCGGGCGGAACTGGCCGCTGTCGAACCCGCAGCACTATGAAGAATTTCAGAGCTCGGGTCCACCCTCGGGCTGCAGCTTGAGCTGCCTCTCGGAGCCAGGCAGAGGGTTCTGAATCTGGAGGCTTATCCGTGAAAAAGGCTGAGCAGTCGCCGGGCGACTCTCCAGCGTTTTCGCGCGGCGCTCGGCATCTCTGCGGGGTTCCTGAAACTTCTCCTTGAGATGGTGCAGAACCGCAGGTCAGTGTGTGGGCGCCTCCCGCATCCCTCCCCCTAACTCGGGCATGGTTAATGCCTTGCGGGCTGACTACCTCCTTAGCACCTAATGTTTGTTTCCTTTAGCGGTCCGGACCTTGGACCCGCAGCTCCAAGCACGGATCTGCCTGGACTAGGGTGGACCCCTTCTAGGCCTTGGGCACGGGGCGCGCTTCTGGCTGCCCCTTGCTGCAGCAGTTGCTACGAGGTGCAGTGGGCAGAGGAACGGAGGCTGACCGTATGAAGCAGGGCCTTCACTGTGGGCCCAGGTCTAGAAAAGCCGGATCTTTTTTTTTTCTTTTCCCGGCGCCTCACCGCAATCCCGGGTTCACCCTAGCAATGACGTTCCTGTGAGGGAACCAGAGTCCCTCAGATGGTTGGAAGAAATCACTGTACTCTGAAAATCACTGCCTCGGCCTCCGGCTGTCTTCGGTGCCTGGAAACTCCCACAATGTGCGAGAGGCGGCGCCGTCATCTGGCTTTGCTGGGGATCCAGTCTGTTCCCAGCAGGAGGGCAATCTTCTATACCAGCTCTGCTCATCCTAACTGCCACTGAGAACAGGAGGACTCTTCTCCCTCCACATGCATACACTTTACCCTTCCACTCGCAGTAATCACTGACCTGCGTCCGCAAGCTGACATCCGGGCAGGTTGGGGATCGGGGACAGGTCTCCCCGTGTACCGCACAATCTACAGCACCCCTTAATGATCTCAGTAGCTCTTGGGTGCTGTCTGCCAGGTCTCTTGAGGGCGGCCTTGGAAGGAGCTAGATTCCCGGTCTCCATATCTCTCCTCAGATCCCGCTAGAGCCAGGAGGGGCGCGCCACAGGTGATGGCCCGTGACACTGGGGCCGCTGACTGATTTATGGAGACTTTACAACATCTGGCCTGGGTCCGCGGGGGCAGGGCTGAGTCCAGCCGAGAAAAAGCACTGAGGGCTAAAGCTTCCCCACCTGTAAGCCCAGGCCCAGCCGTCCTGGGCCCGGCTTTCCGCCAGCGGGTGTACCCCGGGGTAAGATCAGTGCCAAGTGTGTGGATTCCCCCCACCCGGTTAGCCTCCTCCTTCACACTTTCTGGCCCTGCCAGCTTCCAGTCTCCCATTGAATAAATATTTACCCAGAGAAGGGGTTACCCCTCGGAGAAGGCCTCGACAGCGCCTAGGGAAAAGCTTTTGGCTTCTCCCTGGCTAGAACCAGCTGCAGGCCTTACTGGTTGTGTTTTGGTTTTGGTCTTAAATTTCCTTTTAATCGAAATTCTTCCGATCCCTGTGTGATCTCCTGCGTCCAGAACGGGCAGTAACCAGGGGGCGCTGACCCCAGGTGACCCTTGCTATTTCTCCAAGTCCCGTATCCCTATTCTCTCTCTTCTCTCTCCCTTCTTCCTAATTCCTCTCCTCCAGGTCAGTTGCTCTGGCTCAGCTATTTCGCCCCTACACTCAGTGTGCGACCCCTGACCCCCGTTCGGAGGATTCAGCACCAGCCCTTCCAGCTAAGATCCAGCTGCCAGTGTTTGCTTCTGTGTTTCTGCTCCTCAGTATGTAGGCTTCCGCTTCCCTGGGATGCTTAGTGGCCCACAGCGTCAAAGAATGACTCTGCGCGCTTTGAGCTGATAGCGCTTAGCACCCTCCACCGCCCGCGAGAGGTGGGCCTGCTGAGCTCCGCACCGCGGGAACCTTTGTGCTCAGTGACAAGCTGTCTAAGCGTGCCTAAGGGAGTTCGCAGTAACTAAGGCTACATGTGCTCAGCTACAGCCAACTCCAGCAGGTGGATGGCAGCGGAACTGAGCGTGAGCCAGTGAGATGCGTGACTGCTGAAGGAGATGACCGAGAGAAAGAGGATGTTGTATGTTAAGTCCACCTAGCCCAAGCGCTGAACCATATGGATCTCTGGATCACTCCTGGCTGGTGGTGTTAGACCCTCAGCAGGGCATCCGGTCTTGCCAACCTGTAGGCTGAAGAACCCTGTAACGGCATAGAGGCCCCAAAGAGTGAGAAAACGCTCACTGGGTGCCCTGAAGTGGGGCAATGAATCTGTTTAGAGGTCGCCACTCACTGCCAGTGTCTGGGTGGGGGGGGGGGAGGGCATTCCTGATCAAGTCGTAGAGCCTGTTCATTCCTTAGCGCAAGCCTAAGGCAAAATCGTAAACTCAGCTCTGAAGTCGAAAAGTCTCAATTAATTTACACGTTATCCCTAAGAAGGAGCTACTTTAAAAAATCTTGGATTCCCAAGAGCCCTACTTGTTGTAAAGCGCCAGGAGGTGCCACATAACAGGTATTGGGTATCAGACCAGGGTAAAATCTCTCAAGTCAAACGTGGAGAAGACTTTAAACATTTGAAACCAACCAAAAAAAGGGAATAAATTCAAGTATTTCTAGATTTAAGACGTTTCACAAGATCCCGATTGTGAAAAATCAAACGTGTTTAAATTCGTCTTTATCTTTCAAATCCTTCAGACTCTAAGTAAATTCGGATTTAGAATGTGTCCCCACCATAGAAGCGCGAGGATCTGGAGATCAATGTTCATTCTGAGAAGCACAGCTGATCATTACTTTTTTCCTGGGTTCTTGTCATTTGTTGGCTAGCCATCTGGGCCCAGTCAGCTTCCCTCTGTGTAGCCACACACATACCTCGGGACTGTGGGAGGATCAGCTTAAATACTGTGTACACAAGAAGGAGCGTCGTGACCATCAAGTAGCACTATCGTTGTTCTCTATCCGAAGTAGTAGGAACTCACAGATTCATTTAAAATGTTCACCTTGTTTATTATTTTGTTCACATTCTTCACAGACTTTACTTCAAATATTAATAAGCTTGGCCTCCAAAAAGCATAGTGTACACTTTAGACAGAGTGAATGAAAGTGAAAATTCAAATATAGGCAGAATCCCAGGGCCTCTGGTAGCTAAATAGAAGTCACCAGAATTACATACATATGTAGTCTCCGTTGCCTGCCTTCTTGGGACTAAGACTGACACATTTAAATAAGACCCTTTTGCTATGGCTCACTGGTTTGGAGGGCCCTGGCAAATTCTTACACCAAGAACTCACTGCCCTGCACCATAGCTGAATACTGCGGGGGGTGGCCTCTACCCCGACCGCTGGCCTTTATCGGGAGCTCCTTATGCACTGGTGATCGGTCGACGTGGGAGTGTGAGCCAGCTTTAGCTACGTGTAGTTAAGTTCTCCGCACACAGCAAGGTTGTGTGCGTGTGACTGTTTTACGCACAGGCGAGATCTCTGCTTGGAGCCCAAGTTGACACTGCGCTCCTGGATGAGTTCAGTGTGCTAAGTCAGCCGCAAGAGGGGCCTCCTTGGCCTTAACACCTCTGGCTCGGCCTCACAGCTACCCACTGGTCTCTCTGACCCACCTACCTTCTCACACCTACGTTCTTGCCACCTGGAGTAGTCTGGAATGAGGTAGAATCGGTGGGTAACAGAACTTCCCTCCTGCTAGCCCCCAAAGTCCTGCATGTTCGGTTATTCTAAGACTCCCCCATCCTTGTAAACAGTGCCGCGCTTCCCACCTAGAGTCTTAACTTCCATTCTGAGATGTTCCACGTTCCCACCTAGGGGTCTCCAAGGTCTCCATCCCCTCCTAGTCATTCATATTCAGACCAAACGCTTTCATTTGCTTATTCAGCATTTTTAGCAGCCTGATTTGCTGTCTGCTGTGCCGCCCCCCGGGAAGATGTCAAATACCCATTTTCATTCTATTTAGTCACCCAGGTGCGGAGCCAGCCTGAAAAAGACAGCGGAAGGAGTTTCCCGGACCGCGCTGTCACTCACCGAACGACACCAATCATCACGCAGCTTGCCCTCGGACCCTCCTCTTTGGGGGTGTGCCCTTAGTGAGTGATAGACAGAGCCGCCCGGCCCTACTCAGCCCAGCCCACGTTACTGCTTAGATTGAAATGCAGAACTCAAGCCTCTTTCATCAGGGCACAGACTTCCTTTTACTCCTTCCTTTTGCACTCTCGCCTCCTCCTCCGGGGGAGAAGCTGAGGTACCAGCAACCCGGAGCAGCAACAGGCCGGGCCACTGAGGCCGTGAGAAAAGTTTTTTTCTGGGAGTGTGGAACTGGGGCCCGGTTGGTGTACTGTTCGGAGCAATGGGTGAGTGGCGGCGGGGGACGCTGTCAGAACCGAGAAGGGAGGGAGGGAGGGAGCGAGCGGGCGAGGGAGGGAGGGAGGGAGTGCGAGGGCGCGCGCCACTGAGCGCTCACACTCTCCTTATTGACTTTGCTCGTGTTCCTACAAGTTGTAGGAACACGCTAAGGGTCAGCGACGCACAGCAGTTCAATCCGAACGCTGGCTACTGGGTTTCTGTTGGTGCCATTTTCTGATTTTAAGAGAAAGGAGCTGTGGCATTGGCGAGCTCTACAGCTCCAGTGGAAACCCAAGTTTTGTTTTACACACGCACACACACGCAAACAAAAACTTTCCAGCTTCCCCTAGACTTTGCGCGGGTCTCCGGGAGCGGCGCTGGTGACGAGTTGGTGGTGGGGAGGAGCGGCCCATGGACTTTTGGCTAGGAGGGGCGCGTTCGGGCGTCAAGACGGATTTCCCCGCCTGCTTCGGAGACTTCAACACTGGAGCGGCCCTGAGTCTCGCCACATTACTTGCCTGTAGCAGCCGCCCCCACGCAGGGATGAGAAAGGGATCCCAACCGACCCGAGATTGTTTGGGGCCGTTGGGCAATGTTCGGGGACCTATGGTTTGGGGACAGTACAAGTGGTTAGTCAGGGGTGGGTGCGTTAGTTCTGTCCCCGGACACTCACAGTCCAAGTGGCAGGCGGCTGTCCCAAGCGGCGGGTGCGCGTCCCCGCGCGCTGTGTGTTCCTTTTGCAGAGCCAGCTTTCGGGGAGGTGAACCAGCTGGGAGGAGTGTTCGTGAACGGAAGGCCGCTGCCCAACGCCATCAGGCTTCGCATTGTGGAACTGGCCCAACTGGGCATCCGACCGTGTGACATCAGCCGCCAGCTACGGGTCTCTCACGGCTGCGTCAGCAAGATCCTGGCGCGCTACAATGAGACAGGCTCGATCTTGCCAGGAGCCATCGGGGGCAGCAAGCCCCGGGTCACCACTCCCACCGTAGTGAAACACATCCGGACCTACAAGCAGAGGGACCCCGGCATCTTCGCCTGGGAGATCCGGGACCGCCTGCTGGCGGACGGCGTGTGCGACAAGTACAACGTGCCCTCGGTGAGTTCCATCAGTCGCATTCTGCGCAACAAGATCGGCAACTTGGCCCAACAGGGTCATTACGACTCATACAAGCAGCACCAGCCCGCGCCGCAGCCTGCGCTTCCCTACAACCACATCTACTCATACCCCAGTCCCATCACGGCGGCTGCCGCCAAGGTGCCCACGCCACCCGGGGTGCCCGCCATCCCCGGCTCGGTGGCCATGCCGCGCACCTGGCCCTCTTCGCACTCTGTCACCGACATCCTGGGCATCCGCTCCATCACCGACCAAGGTAAGGGCTCAGAGACCTAGCGTGAGGACGTGCAGAGCCTGTCTTCGCACCCCCGCGGGGATCCCAGTGTCTGCGGCCTCGAGCTCGGTGCCTATCCCACCACCTGAGGCTTTTTTTTTTCCCCTTTGGAAACCTAAGGAGACTTCCCAGGGGGTGTCCTGATCTCATTAACTTGAAACTCATGCCCCTTGTTTCCTTGCCACACACAGTCTCCAGCCTCATCTCAAACTACCAGACCCATAACATCCCCCCGTCCCCAACACATGGTTCGCATTTTCCACCCTCCCCCGCCCCTCGCACTGCGGCAGCCTCAGCGGGCTGGCTGGCTTGGTGAGCGCTGCCCGGGCCCACTTGGGGCGCAGCCCTGGAGGCCCGAGCCGACTTAAGGTTGCCGGCGGCAGATGCCGCTACAGGCAACTTGTTTGGGGGATTAGATGTGACTGCTAGCAGTCTCATACGTTGTGGAAATTGTAATATTCTTCTCGGATTCAGGCAATCAGGCCAAATTCGCTCAGGCAGGAAGTTCAAATGTCACCTAATTGGTTTCATTCTTATGCTTCACTTCATTTTCCTCGGAAACGGAGGTCCCGGTTACTACTAGTAACTTTGTAACTTGCATTTAGCTGATTCCGGGTTCCTCTTTCTCCTCCCCCCACCTCACTTTTACCTTAACAGAGACATCAGTACCACTGCATATGACGCAGACAAAATTATATGCCGTCTTTTCTACTGTTGTCCCCGAGCCTGCCCCTTTCTTTTAGGGTCCCCTAGTCCCCGGGAAACAAGTGGACGTGTATCTAGTTCTTGCAAGGCTTCAGCGATGCCACCCCACTGTTCCTTTCCTTTCTCACCCCTGACCTTGCCGAGTCCTGAGGTCTTTCGCGTGGTCAGAACGATTCCCGGAGCCCTCCTGCTCAGTCTGGCTTCCGCAGGAGACCTGTGTTTGTTTTCTTTTACTGCGCTGTTAAAAAATAAATAAAAAGGCGTTAACTTCTTTCTTGGTAGGGAGAAAAGAAAGTAAAAATGCGGTAGACACAGAATTTAAATAATGCAGAGATAGCCTACCTTATTAATTTCTCAGCATAAAGTTTAAAAAGTGCAGAGGGGGAAAAAAAAGTAAATAGGAAAGGGGGAAATAGTTCCTTTAATTATTTCCTGCCTTTTGCAGTTGCCACCACATTGGCACAATTACCTTTTTAAGCAATTAAAGCAGGGCCCTGATTTCTCATTGTCTTGTTTTTTGACCATGAATTTACAGGAATCCAGTTTTGTCTTATTTGGAGCTAGTTGGGGCTTTAGTTGGAGAGAGTTTGCCCTTGATTTATAGGATAAACTGACCTCACTGACATTTAAAGGAAGCCCCTGTTCATGGGAAAGTGTGAGATCAGCAGAAATGGAAGCTCACAGGGGGATCTCAATTTCTTAAGATAACTTCAGGCTTGTGCCCACCGAGTGCCTTTTGTCTGGAGAGGCAAAGAACTCAGGCAGTTCTGGACCCAAACAGTCTCTTGGTGCAAAAAATAGGAGCACAATCTATTTCTTTGGAAGGGGGAGACATAGTGAAAAAAGGCTGATGGAGTTGAAAAGAAAATTTTTCTTCTCTAGGGATCCTACAATCAGACCAAATGTCAATTAGGAAAGTATAGGATCACGGAGAGGCACAACTTTTCATTGTTGTTGATTGTGGATGTCAGCTTTGAACAACATGGTTTCAGACAAATCTGTAAACACAGAATGATAATTTCTTTAAAATGATCACCCTTTAAAACACTGTTTTGGATGGAAGTGTTTAAAATTAAGCTATGGTGGCTTTGTCAAAGCTCACCCTTCAATCCCTAGCTCCAAAATAGGAAACAAAAAGACATCACTTGTGGTCTAAGTATCTCCTTTAAAATTTTATTTGGTCACTTAAAGATGCCAGTAATTCAATATGCACAACCATCGATATTGTGGTAATCACCTTACACTATATAATTTTCTTTGCATCTCCTTCAAGAAATAAAAGGATAACTGGTGGCTTTCCCCCTTTTCTTAATACTTGATTCTACTTTCATTTTTATTTCATTTTCTCTTATACTTAAAAAAAAAAACCGTCTGTATTTCTGCCACTGTCACTGGTGCTATTTACAGTGTCAGCGACAGAATTTATTTTTGAGTCATACACATATAACCTCATATATTTAATGTGTATAGAGAGCACAGAAGAATAGTCCCTTGCTCAAACAAGTTGGAAATCTTGCATTTTGCATGTGTATTGTGTGCATCATTTATGTATTTGTTTGCAAAGGACTTTGCAGGTCTTTAGCCCTATTTGTTGACATAAGTACCAGATCCCCACAATGCAGTGAGCACTTTTCTAGATGTCTCTGAGCACCAAGCCAGGTACCTCAGGTCAGGGCACTTCTCTCTCCATTTTCAAACTGCCAGAATCTCAGATCTTTACCACCTCCCTCCAGTTCGCCCCAGGTTAAAGAAAAAGGTATTCAACCTCACAGGTTCTTTCTGTGAGGTTCATTCGGGAAAATTCTCAAGTTTCTTCCACGGAAAGGAGGAGGGAAATCCAAGGCTGCTTGAAAACAAAAGGCAAAACTTCCCCAAATCCCAAACTATCTTCATGCAGGCAGGAGTGGAACGACTCAGAGAGGCCTACTCTTAGGCGAGTACAACTTTACTAGGTCCTGGGCTGTGAGTGGTGGAGGCCGCAGATGGCCACAGGGACCCTCTGGGCCACTCTCTTCCCGCCCCCGCCCCGAGATTGTAGTCCGGGAGCACTCTGGTTGCTAGGCTAGGTTCCGGCCGCGTCTCCAGAGGGGGACAAGCGGGCAAGCCATCAGCTTGACATCTTCTCCTCCTTCCCAGGAGTGAGCGACAGCTCCCCCTACCACAGCCCCAAGGTGGAGGAGTGGAGCAGCCTGGGCCGCAACAACTTCCCTGCTGCCGCTCCGCACGCGGTCAACGGGCTGGAGAAGGGAGCCTTGGAGCAGGAAGTCAAGTATGGCCAGGTGAGGAGGCGAGGGCCTGGCCAGGTGGGTGGCGCGGCGGAGGGGTTTGGGAGGTGGAGGACTCGGGTCCCTTTCTGGGCCCTAACCGAGAGAAACCCAGGCTGAGGACCTGCTGCTGCCACTAGCCGGATTCCCAGTTGATGGAGGCAGGACCGAGGCTCGAGCCTCCGAGGGCAGAGTGGAGGCCACGACCCCCTCACCCCCGCCCGCCAGAGGCCAGGAGCGCGCGCCAGGGCGTGTGCCTCCCTCAGGCGCGGCCCTGGGAAGCGCTTTCAGGCCTGTTTGGACCCGGGAGCGCGGGCAGGCCGCGCCTGAAGCCCTTCCGTTATTCGCAAAGGGGCTCGAATTAACCAAAAAAGGAATTTCCTAAAGGCCGGGGCCTCGCAGCCTGGGGTTCTCAGAACAGCGCCCGAGATGGATCGCGGCCTCGGAGCCAGGGGCGCAAGAGGATGGTCGCTCGGCCCTGCGGGACGCCTGTCGCGGGACCTCGAGCTCCGACCGCTCCCCTAAGGTGGTTCCGAGAGAGACGAGAGGGGCAACCAGAGAAACCTAACAAAGTTACCATTTCCCGATTAAAGGTCGCATCGTCCTCTCCCAAGGGAGGTTAGTGAGAAAACCTCAAATTATACGGACTGGCTTTGGACCATTTAATTTTTCTTTCCCTCCGTCCCACCCCCAACTCTCCAAAATAAAATTTAAAACACTTGTGTCCCCCTCCCCCTGGGGTGTGGGGGGAAGCTAAGGAATCACCACAACGAAAACCCAAGAGACTGAGTCTAAATTCATCACTAAGATAGTCAAGAGTTCGAAACTCTCAAAAACCGGACTTGAAGGCAGACTAAGATTTCCTTGAGCAGACAGACCTCTGTAGGTTTGCAAATTTCTTAATCCCTAACTCCAATTTCAAAGCCTCAGAATACTTAGTTTTTGTTTGATTATTTTGAAGGCTTCCAAAGTTTAATGCTCTCTTATAGGATAAAAATCAGCTTTTAAACTCCAGTGGAATTTATTAATAATAAGAATTTATTATTCTTATTCATGGGGGACAGCCTGGTGTGTGTGATCCTTGTCACTATTTTCTCTAACAAAGCCCAGTTCCACTTCCTCTTCCCTCCCTGATTTCGTTCAATCAGAGTCAGAATGCATATCAGCTATCCCATGATAAACACCACACAGAAAATAGCCAGAGGAGAATCCTCTTCCTTATCTCTTTCTGTGCAAAGAATGCCAATGGGATATTATAAGGAAGTTTATCGTTTTCTTTTACAAAAGGGCCCCATTTATTTCACCACTCATCAAATATGTACAATGGTTAGAAGCTCTGATCTAGCACCACCACTTCTTAAGCAAGTTATTTAATTTTTTAGAGCCCTCATTTCTTTATCTTTAAAAGGAAGAAATAATAGTCCCAACCTCAAAAGATATGAGAATTCAATGAGATGATGCAACCATATGGCACATAGTAAGCACTCAGTAAATATTACCTATGTTCTAAATGCTACAGATTGACTTTTAAAAATCAGCCATATTTAAAATAATACACGTTGTTTAGAAAGCCCATAGCAAAAAAAAAAAAAAAATGTCAAGGCATTTTGTTACAAACACTAAAAAGGGTGTATACAAAACACTGAACATAATAGCAAGCATTTAAATAGGTATTTAGTACTTTTTATTAGCTCATCATTTCTTGGAATAACATATTGTGAAGTATAGTTTTAAAAGTTTCTAATTCTCCTGTGTAGTTGATGAACCCAGTTTATGTATAAACCAGCCTTAAATTTATAGTTATTTTCATTTTTACTCTTTTGACTTACATATGTTGTAAATCATTTTATTCTTTTGACTTACATTGAAGAAATGGTTAATTTATGATACATTTCAAAACCAATCTGTCAATTAATTTAAAATGAAAAAATTAAATATGATTTCAAATAATCCACTCTATGTATTCTGAACACTAAAATAGATTACCTTTTATACACTGAATTTGAAATCATATTTATTATTGATTAGTTAGTTTTACAAAAGCAAGTGATTTCAATCAGTGGCCACATATTGCTCTAAATATTTGAGAACACATTTTATTTTTTTTACAGAATAAAAATGATTTTAATATTTAAAAGTTCTGAATTGTAACATGCTTGTCTTCTGCTTTGTCATGTAGGTAGGTAATTAAAATGATGCAGAATTTCAGAATATGAAAAGTTTCTAAGCGTAATGTAAGTCAGTTGCTAGTCTATTATGATTATTAAAATAGTGCTTAATACTGACAATAGGCTACATAGGCATATAAGCTTAGGTTGTATCAGTTTTTTATCCATTTTGGACTTTACCTTCATTGAGGGTAAAGTGATATATTAACATTCACTTATAAAAATGCAAAGGTGAAGTGTATAGCATATGTGTGTGTGTGCATTTCTCTTACTTGTAATCTTTCAAAATGTTATTATATTCCAACCAAAATGTGAACTCAGGTAACATTTCCCCCTCTGTATGAATAACTATCAAAACTTGAAAGTTTTTGACAAAAGCTGAAAATTTTTGCCTAAAATAATTTCAGAGCATTTATGGTTGTTATTAAATAATGCAAAATGATATTATACCAGTTTCATTTTAGTGTATAAAGGAGGAAATTGAGAATTCAGAATCAGGGCTTAGAGCACATTTTCTCAGAAGTCCCCTATAAAATTACCAAATGGCTGAACTGGCAACTAATTATGGATCCTATTGATTACTGTAATCTACAGTTTTTATTTTTAAATTACACGGGAAGATAGAAAGAGGACTGTGCAGCTATATACATATCTTTTGTTTTAAAAATTAGTTTAGAATATTAAAATTTTCTCTTACACATTAACACTACACCCTAATTGACATATTATTATTCAGAAGACTTTATTGAGTATCTCTGAAGATAGAATATTTACTTCTTTTAGCTTTTCCACCTACATTTAATATTGAGCTGGACATTTTAATCTCAGCTAATTCTGAATGGCAACAATGTTCCCTGGTCCTAATGACTGATTCTGTTCTGTTAAAAGCATAAAACTGCTATTGAATATAATCAAATGGCAAAAGAACATTAAATAGACAAACAAGAGGTTGGACTATATCTGCCCTTTTTACATGGAACTTGGCAAATTAATGCCTTGTTTTATTCAAACAGTTTATAAGTAACTATATTGTTCTTTTCTACAAATGAATATTCTTTCTCAGAAAAAAATTATTGCTTATCTGGTCCTTTAAAGTAATCTGAATGGTAGATTTACAAGTTTTCAGTTTCTTCATTTTGGGGTTGCATATGTTAACTCAGTAACTTTAATATAACACCAATTACAAATTCAGATATCAGAAATAGAGAATAGTCTATAAATACTTGAATTTCTAAAAGTTCAGAATTAAATATGTTGTGAAAACAGTTAAATTTAAAGACATGATCTGAAATTTTCGCAAAGCATTCACTTGTACATTGTCTTTGAATTGAAGATAGTATTCAGAATACTGAATGTAATTTTCTAGTGCATTATTTTAAAAACTAGCTGTCCTTGGGAACATATAGTTCTCATGAAGGAAGAAGTTAAATTATACTGAATTTTCTTCACTTCAAATAAAGTTAACTTTTGTTAAATAATTTATAATTTTATACAGAATAAAATCTTAGACAAATACCAATAAAGAGTGTTTGAAATTGATAATATTAGCTATTATGAAAAATATTATTTGACCTGGCTAACTTTTAACTAGTATTAGTTTTAATCAAAATTAATTTTATACCAGTAAAATGTGTCATATAAAATATCAGGAAAGGATAATTAAGAAATTTTAAGCTTATTCAAAATAACTCAAAGAAAGGGTTCTTAATGTTCTTACCCAGGAAATGATAATAAATGCTTGAGGCAGTGGATGTTCTAAAAACCATGATTTGATTATTACACAATGTATGCATGTATCCAAATACCACACTGCACCCCATCAATTGTACAATTATTATGTGTCAACAAAACACAAAATGAAACTTTTAAGAATAAGCTGTTGAAGGCTACACCAATTTTAATAATATTTTAGAAAAATTAGAATTAAAAATTGGAAACTTTTTAAGTACTGTGCAGCAGCTTCCCACTACCTGGAAACATTTAGCTCTGCAGTGTGATAACTAAACATAATTAAGATCCTTGTGGGTGAATGTTAAAACCATCTTTGTAACCATCTTTTCATTTTATCAGGTTTGTTTTAGTAGGTCATTACATAATGAATTAACAAGGGAAGAACAATAGTCAGGAAAATGATTTCACCAAAAAAGCATCTTGCTTATTTGCAGATATGAAACTTTTTCTTGATTATGATATCAATATTGAAATTCTAGGTGAAGTACTACTTCATTGTGGCTAAATATACTTTAACATAAAGCCAAGGTAAATATATTTTATGAGAAGGAGACGACCAGGTAGTGCTGATAAGCGGATGATAGATTGGGGTAGAGATTCTGACACTGTAATTTGTGTTTTCTTCAAGAGAGAATATGTTGAGCAGACAATTCCCCAAAGTTGAAAAATAAACTATAAGCTCTAATTGCCAGTTATCATAACAATCCCCCCTCCCTATGATCACAAGTATTTGGATACTACTGCAATTCCATTTTCTTGGAAGGAAAAGAGGAAAAAATGGAATAATCATAAATCCAATAATGAAATGTGTAGTTTAGAAATTTTGTTTACTTTTTTAACAACTTTATTCATTTTGTTTAAAGTATAATGTTAGCTCTGTGATAAAGGGTACCTAGCTTTTTGTTTTGTCCTTAAACTACCACACCTTTTGCTTTCACAAACCTATAGTAACTTGAGTTTAGAAAATGTCTAAGATGTGTTCTATTTTATGGGGATACAAGGTAATTAAGGCAAGTCCCTGTCTTTGAACAGGTTCTAATCTAGCCCTCTGCTGACATAGCTTTTCAACATGTTCATTAAAACTACTTTTTAAAAACTGAAAAATCTACTTCTCTCATATTTTAGAACAGGTGAAATGAAAGTTCATGCTTTCATTCTTCTCTGATAACCATAACCAGAACTACATTTCATTTTAAATATTGTTTTAGACTGTTTCCTGTAATGTCCGTGTGATGAAAGTTGTCTTTTCCTAAAAATACTCCACAAAGAAATAACTTATTTTTTTTTCAGGGTATGCATTTTGGTCTGTTTTTCTTTGTATTAGTAAATCTTATTTTCAAAATTAGGCAGAAGATAATATGCCATAGGGAAGGCCCTTGCATAGTCCTTCAGAGTAAGGAATTCTCAAGGCTCCCATAGAAGATCTACACGAAAAATAAATTGATGGGTTGAAGTCTTATTTATTAAATATTTAGGCAAAGTCATTTTCAAAAATGAGATTTCCATTACATGCCCATTGCTGAAGTTTCATTTGGAAAATTTGTTTACTCTTCCCTGGGGATTCCATATGTTGGTTGATTTATAAATCATATTTACAATCCAATTAAATAGAGTAATTTAGCATGTTTGCTCCCACTATATTTATGGTGTACATTTGGTAGCGTACTCAGCTAGCTAGCTTTTCAGATTAATTACATGCCCTTCAATGAAAACATTAAACAGATTTGGGGAGTTTAAGTCGTGTACTCTTTTACTCGAAAGAATAAACAAACATCAATGCTACCTGTAGTTGTTTCCTTTGCAGTGGAAAATTTTACTCTTTCAGTGATTGCTTCATAAATAACAATTACTTTACCCAGTAGAGATTTATATCTTTTACTAATGTCATGTTTCAAAATTAATAGTGAGAAAATTGATGTGTTTATTGAGTCATTAGAATGAATGAATAGTGTAGGTGGCAGGAGGCAGGAACATTTCGAAGCCAGTTGTTCTCTCTTGCTTACTCATTTTTTTCTAAATTTCTAAATCTGAACTTCAAAAGTAAAATGAAAAGTTAAGACTCCCCCTAATCTAGGTCATTATTTAACCCAAGGAAAAGCTAAGGTTATTATTTTTATACTGCTGCTTTTATACTAAGGTTGGTTTTTTTAAAGCAAACACTAAGCAAGAAGAAATCACCCCTTTTTGAGCTTTTCTTTCTACCCTTTCTGTAATACAGAGGGGATTCTATCAATAAAGTGACACTAAATAAAGATTGTAGATTTTAGAGAACTTTGAAGTGTTTAATACTAGTAGAATAATAACATAAAGGAAGTTTGGTATGCTAAGTATGAGAAATTGGACATAAAGGTATAAAATGGTAGTATTTTTTTATGCTTGATAAATGAATATAGTCATGGAGTAAGTAAGGTACCTGAAGGTAAGGCCTAAGTCTGATATTTTGCTTTCCCTAAATTCCAGGAGCATTATCTAAGATGAAAGTCATATTCAGCATGGTTTATATTCCAGGGTCAGTGTCTTGGGATGAAATGCAGGGTCTTTACAAGCCAAGAATGCTTTCTACCACTGAGCTGTATTCCCAGGCCTTAACATTCTTATTTTACTTTTCTAGGTGCACACTGATCAATAGTATTAAATACTAATTATCCCTAGGAGAAGGCCAAGTACTGATGTGAACATCTTTCCATAATTCTATTGGAATGATCCCATTCTAAACGTAAATTTCTTTCAGATTATTGGGGAAACTCTGAAGAAAAGTGATTAAAACTGTAATCTCTATGAAATGCTGGATTGATAACTATCTTGACGTTCATTTTCTGAGAACCTTAATGTGAGATAAAATTAGCCATTTGAGACATAATTAGTCATTCTCAAAATGGAGAAAAAAGGATTTTTTTTAAAAAGCAAAAAAAAAAAAAAAGAATTTAACAATGAGAATTGAGTTCTAGAAGAGGAAAGAATCTTTTACTAAATGTTATCTCAAAAGACAGTCTAGTTTGATATTAATTGGATCTGTCTTCTAATTTTCCAGAAAAAAAAAAACAGCATGATGCACTACAGAAGACCCTGCATCAGACAGGGGTGATAAATTCTTTTAATTCATGGCCATGGACTGGCCACTTGGCTTGGAGTAAATGGATAAATCCTTCCATCTACATCCGTTTTTTTTTTTCCGATGGTGATACGCAATGGTTTCTTTGCTAATGATGCTGTGTTTTGTTTAAAAAAATGCAGCATCTTTCTTGGGATCCCTTGAAATATAGTTTAATTTCAATTGAACATTATATCATATTCATAATATATTATCTTGTAATTGTGATAAAACCAACAGTTTACAATTCATTAATCCTCATAATTCTGTAATATATGTTGAATATTTCTTGGTGCCTAAGACACAGTAGACACTCAAGAAACTTTAATTTCCTTTCTTTTCCCCCATTTTTCAAAGAGTAAACATTGACACGTAGAAGAACACCAAGGTGTATGTTCTTCCAAACCCAAGATACAAGGTTAATATATTTTTTTTCTTATTTTGTCAGAAATTCATGAGAAATGCTCAACTACACCCACGTATATATTCTACTACTACTACTACTACTACTACTACTACACACACACACACACACACACTTTCATTTCAAACATACTTTTTGAGACCCTACCATTGCATTCTCACACGTGTAAAAATGAAAATAATAGCCAAGTAAATTAAATATAAAACAATTTCCAGGGCGAGTGATGAAGCTGAATGGAAGAGCTCATGCTTAGCAGTACAAGGCCCTAGGTTCAATCCCCAGTGCTGAAAAAAAGGAAAATATAAAAAACAACAATTTCTGTTTTGTAATTGAATTGGATAAAATAACTAAGACATGTCTGATTTATTTAAGAATTAAATTGAGTTTTCTAATTGAATTCTCATATTTACTTATATTTTCACTAGGAAATATGTTAATGTGTTAGCCCATTCATGTCATGACCAGGAAATAGGCTTCATTATTTATCTCTAAATAGTGTAGAAATAGAGGAGAAAAAAAAATAAGCTACTTGAAGAAGAGTGCCGAGTGTTCATGCCAGAAGTAGGATTAGAAATCAGGGTGTTTTTGGTGTTGTTAATAGTAACGATACCAACAATAATTTATTGGGTGCCAAAAGAGCACTGGTTTCTAGGCAGGCTTGCCTGCCAGGGCTGTTGCGTTTTGTTTGCAAACAAAGATTTTTTTTTTTCAAACAAAGATCTAAGTTAATTTCAAGAGATTTGTTCATATGGGTTTTAAATACTCACACTATTGAGCACAAAACATTTTCAAGCAAAATTTCCAATTTTAAAGCCATGCATATGCAGTTAATTTGTATTTGGCTAGACAATTTCCTTTCTGATAAAATTTTGGAAAAAAATCCCAGTGTTCATTAAACAAACAAACAAACAAAACACTTGCAAGACAAAACATGATTTTACGTGTCTTTTGTCCAACCAGCGTTTTCAACTTGATGTCTTAAAATATGGGCCATGTTTTTATTTATTTTCTTCCAAAATTTTATCAGAAAGGAAATAAAGTCTTGCTAATTTTGTATTTCTAATGTGACAGCCCATACTCTGTGCCCTTTTTTTACTGGAAATGAAAGCTATACCAACCAGGGCAGTCACAAATGCCTCAACAAAAGAGCCAAACAAAACCAAGGCATTGGGATAGTTGACAAAGGCAGTGTGGACAGCTGAACAGATTTCTGAGAGTATTTAATCACCATTAATTCTTTCTTTGCCCTGCTTCTCCTTCCTACATTTCCAAGTTGCAAAAGCAAATAGTGTGAACTTTCTGGTTGTAGCTTCCTTAACACTTCTGTGGAAAGAATAATATCTTGCTTTTCAGCCTCATTTGTTTAAGTAGCAAAACTTTGAGTGCCTTTAGAATGTAATTCAGATCAGATCTAAAAAAAATGCTTCAGAAAGTATAGTAATAATATTGTTAGCTTGCTCAGAATTTATATTTTGCTTCTTTCTAAGAACCTGTGGATTACAAAAAATGTGATTATTTTTCATCTCTTTTTCTCTTAGGCACCAAACGGTCTCCCAGCTGTGAGCAGTTTTGTGTCAGCATCCAGCATGGCTCCTTACCCCACCCCAGCCCAAGTGTCACCTTACATGACCTACAGCGCTGCTCCTTCTGGTTACGTTGCTGGACATGGGTGGCAACATGCGGGTGGCACCCCACTGTCCCCCCACAACTGTGACATTCCGGCATCGCTGGCCTTCAAGGGAATGCAGGCAGCCAGAGAAGGTAGTCATTCTGTCACCGCTTCTGCACTCTGATGAGAAATTCCGTCTCCAGCAGCTGCTCTCGGGTCTCCCCTTCTCAGCACATCCTCCCCACTTTCCCAGGTTTCACATCTCACCCCTCCTGCCTTCTACCCTTCTTGCCTGGAGAGCTGGCTTTACAGACTCACATCCTTTGTGCTGATGACACTTAAATATTTCTTGCCATAACCTCTTTCTTGCAGAAAACCTGACACGACTTAGGATTTTAAAACAAAAGCAACGTTAAGGATTGAATGAGACTTTTGTGTTGCCCACACACTGTTTTAACGTAGTGAAGAAATCTACACCCCTCAAAGGGCTTAAGGAACTTTTAAACTAGTCTTTGGTAAAACCACACATGTATATTTATTCTAAATCAACCTGAACTTTTGAAATGTGCAATTGTTGAGATTTTGCAAAATCAATAAAGAAAAACACATGTAGAAAAAAAAGTTATGCTACACCCTCTAATCAAATAAGGTGACCAAGTAAGCCTTAATTTACCATTAGGAAACCAATCAATAATTGACTTGTTTGAGTGATCCTTTGTTTATTTTTAAGAGATAACCTATTTTGTTGATAAATATGTAGAACACAAGCAGTTTCTGAATTTAGCTCCTGGTGTTTTGTCTTGGTTCCAAATACAGTAATGTTTATATTTTCTATTAGTTTGTAAATATGGACTCTGGGTGGTGCATTTGTGTCTTCATGCCATGGGATATCCCCCTCTCCCCAACCCCACCTCCTCTCTATTTTGTTTTTCTTTCTTTTTTGCAAAGGTGACTTTCTGGCAACATCTCTGTCTTTGTTTGGTGGTGGGCTTCTTGGGCTCCTGGACCTCAACTTGCCCCCAAATTTTGTGTGGGCAGTGAAGGCTTCAGCATCATGAAGGACACTTTCTTTCTACAGCAAAGGACTCAAAAAACAGATAAAACAATCTAGTCTCCCATTTTATATTCTAGTCAAACAACACACATGCCAAGCATATAAAGATAAGGGGGTGGAAAATATCTGAATGAGAAAGGCTCTAAAGGAAGTCACTTAGAAGCAAGTTTAATGTGAAATGTTTTACAAAGACACTTAAAATGAACTTTATGTTAAGAAAACCACTGTGAAACTAAATTGTACTGTTATTGTTGGCTTACCTGTGTGTTCAGCAATCACAGCCCAAAATTATGTTGTAACTTAAAGAAAATGGAAAATTCTGCTCTAATGAATGTAACAATGGCTTGCTGTGAAGTTTACATTGTTGTACAGAACATGTTTCACATGTACGTAAATTGGTGGTGGTATTAGAAATACAAATGCTATTTAATTTTAATGAATTCCCTTTATTCATTTCTGGAATTACAGGATGCAGATTAACTGATAAATCTTACTAGACCAATTTCTTTTTCACTTTAATGTTAATAATAGAGCTGTGGGATATATGTGTGTGTGAGCATGTGATTATGTGTTGTATTTTGAAACAATTGATTTTTCTTTGGTAAAATTCTACAGTTCTTATACCTTCTGTTTAGGAAATTCTTCCTGCTTGGCAATATAGGCTTTAAAATACATTTTTAGAACATTGGTACAATTCATTTATTGGAAAATTAATATATTGTGGGCTTTTTTTGGTATTAATTCTGTGCAATAACTAAAAGGGCACCTCATTAGATATGGAGGTTAAAGATGCATTCATTGAGTGATTTCAACTTCTTCATATCTGTGCTGTGCACAGCGACATGGCAATCCAGTTCTGCCTCATAGGTTTCACGGCTTCCTTTAATACTTAGATGGCTAGATCAGTTAGTTTTTCAAATCACTAGGTTGTAAACACTAAGCAGATTTCTGACATACAAGTAATGTTCTAGGAACTGCTTTTTTGCAAGCAGCAGATAACTTATAGAGAGCTTTGAACTGCATTTATTTCTAAAGCAACTGAAGTCTAGTGCTACAAACAGAGGATTACAACTTCTGAGAAGAATAAGCAGAAAGAGCAGATGAACTCTCAGGGCCATAGTCTTCCTTTGATCTTGTAAAACTCCAATTGACATCTGGAGTTCCTAGTCTGGTGAGAAAATAGACTATAAACCAAATGGAACAATGATCCTATCCAATATTTTGGTGGAGACTTTAAAACCAGACCATACAAGGACTCACCTGATGTCCAGAAAAACTGACAAAAAAAGTACAGAATTATTTTCTATCAAATGTTTTTAGGTGGCTACTAAGCATCTTTAAAAAAATATCAAATGTTGTATGGAAACAAAACTAAATGTTATTTTCTTTATCTAAATTAATCTCTTGTTATTGTTATTTATGGTTTTCTGGATCCTTTATTTTTAAAAATCTAATATTAGTGATATCATTTCTCTTCCTTCATCTTTTTGTTTTTGTTTTTAGCAACCATAAATTCCAGTGGAATAATTTAAAAAAGACAACAGAAAGTCCAAATACAATTTGCTATTCAAAGTAAATTATTATTTGAAGCCACTTTAAAAACTCTTGAGAAGGAAAATGGAATGGGATATGGGATTAGGACTATTTAATTTTTAAACACTATTCTTATTATTTAATGTTAACATTTCCTCTGTTTCTTAGAGGGTGAAGGGTTGATATTAAATTGGCAAATGCACTCTTTGGAAATCCTTTTCCATTTTGTCCACATGGCAGGGTTAAACATTTAATTTCATGGCCTCTGTGCATATAGTGCTCTCTCACAGTATGCAAGAGTATTACCTGCAAGGATAGAATGCAGTTGTGCAACATAGACACATTCTTGTTTCTCTTGGTTTTCTGTTTTTAATGACCCACTTATTGAATATTGGGCTGAAATATAAATTTAAAAAATCACCTTGGAAAGGATGTACAACAGAAGGCTGTGTGTGTATATACAGTATGTTAAAAAGCCTTTTATTTTTATACTTCAAATGCTCTAAATTAATAAAAACTAATAATTACTATGCTATCTTTACTTTTTATTTTCAGAACGCTTTGGTAGAAGAGTGACTTAGTAGAAATATCCCATAGTAGTAGTTCATAATGGGTTTCATCTAGAACATGCAGATATTTTTGTTGACTCATTACTGAAGTAGCATCATTTCAGGATGAAGATATAAAATCAACTTTGGTTATATCAAGACCAAAGAGCTATTTTTTAGAGTGCATGTTAGTACAAGAATGCTTGGAAATGCTAAGAATGTACTTCTATTTTGAAATATTTTTTCTTTCATACATATTTTAGTATTATAGACAATAAACTTTACACCTGAAGCTGTCACTTAAAACTAACTACCTAGAAATGTAGTTTTACTCTACACATTTTTTTTCCTGTGCTAGGGATAGAACCCAGGATCTGGTACATGGGTGCATGCTAGGCAAGTGCTTTATCACTGAGCCACACACTCGACCTCTACATTCTTTTTTCCCCTCCACCCAGTACTTCAGATTGAAGCCAGGGTTGCTCTACCACTGAGCTACATCCCCAGTTCTTTTTGCTTTTTATCTTGAGACAAGGTTGTTGAGGCAGGCCTCAAAGTTGGGATCCTCCTGCTCAACTTCCCAAGTCACTGGGATTACAGGTGTATGCCCCTACATCCTGCTTTACATTGTTCTTAAGAATGACATAGGTAGGAGTTCTGTACGAGGATATTTGGATGCAGTTACAGAGAGCACAAATTGGCCCAAGGAGTGCTTCCAATTTGTGACTAACATTAATATTTCAGCGACAAAACTTGTCTTCAAAGTAGTTTAATTTCATGTATTCCATTAGTAGTAAAATACATCAGATAGCATGACTTAAAATATATCTACTTAATCAATCATGTAAAATATAAAGTAGATTTAGGAAACTAGAACTAGAGAACAGATTTACATTTTAATAACATTCATGATATTAAACATTCTTAAAAAGCCATTTTAATGCACTTTGAAAATATTCTCCTTCTGTTCTTTAAATATTACTAGTGGAAAAAGTTAACTTCTTATAAAAACTTTAACTATTTTTTTCACCCAGTTTTTCTCAAAATAGCCACAGAAGAATTTACTTTCAAGAACTTAAGCATTTCTAGGCCTCTTAGGAAAAACAATTATCATTATAATGAATTTTCATTATGAAGTAGTATAAGAGGAACATAAGTGATGAAACTCATTTTGCTTTTATAAAACATAACTGATTCCTATGAAATTTTAATAGTCAACTTATATATCTCATTGTTTCATACTATTTTTTTCACAGCTTTATGTATATGACCCAAACTATCATTTCAAGTTGCCTAAAGATAATTTCTAACGTCTCAAAATAGGCTTTGTTCTTGAACAAGCTGTTTTCCCCTTCATAATCGTATGCCTAGTTTAGCTGATCCGTAGTCTTTCCTCTTCATGGGGTTGCAGAGCAAATACCCATTATCTCAAGGGGAAAATGCTTGGGAGGCAGTCACCAGTTCTCTTGCAGCCATGAATAGGTGTATTCATAAACCAGCAGCATCACTGCACCACCTAGAAAAAAAAAGAACTGTGTTTGTTTGTCACAAATTCTGTGAAACAGCACTGTTCCCCTGGGGTTTCGGAATCTATGAAGTCCCAGGCAGCCCATCAGGCAGGGGCTGTTTGGAACTACCAGTTCTGGAGCTCCAATACATAGATACAAAACTATTGTGGAAAATTCTCAGGGTAAAATCAAGACCATCTTGAGTATCCAAATACATTTTTTCCTCATGAGTTTCTGCAACTTTCATCATTTCTCATCAGATTCTTTTTTCAGGCACTTTTAATTTTTAAAAGTAAATAAATATAGACATATTTAGTCATGTAAGGGCATGCGGCTTTCCTGTGAACAGAAACCTTTAGCTTCTTCATACGTAGGCACAGGAATTTATCTTTTTCAGTCCATAATCGGCATTGTCTTAGGAAATCTCTAAGATGGTGTTTGACAGATGAGTCTATTTCGGATGGCTTTCAAAGTGGATTGTAATGTGAAAAAATATCTTCTGAATGCTTTTTAAAATCTGTACTTGTAAAAGTTGTGAAAAAAAAGGAGGTTGGAAGCTAACCATCATTTCATTTATCTACCTAAGATGTATATAGATTTGAACTTGAAAATTTGGTAGGTGAGTTGAGTGGCATGAGACCACGATTTGTCCTGGGAGAAAAGAGTTGTATGAAAAGAGGAGAGGTTTTCTGTGTAACAAAGCAACAGGAATATGATTCAGGAAAGCAAGTTCAATACTGGGAGAAGCAATTGCATGTGAATCATTTTGTGTTCTATCTGATGCAGAAATAGTATGTATCCTCTACTTTAGGACAATCCTTTCGTGTCTAATGGTAGGAAAAATATTACAAGATCAAAATATGGACTAGTATACTGAGCACAACTTTGAGAAGACTCAGCTATCTCAAGAGAAGATTGACTCCTGACAGAAAGAAATGAAACTCGATTTTGATCTTATTTGTGTACACTTCCATATGCTTCTTTTTTTAATCTACATGCTGCACATGTTTGTGAAACCATATACCAAAGATGATTATCTGTCTGTAATTTTCATTTTTAACCCATGAAGATACTCTATTAGGCCCCTTACAGCTGCTGTCACCCTCTGGGAACTCAGCAAACAAAAGAAAATGAACCACAAATGCATATGTGATTACTGTGTTTACTCTTATCAACTGTTCACAATGTAAGGTAAGAACATGCAGAATTGGGTTAGTTTTCAGCTTCATGAGAAGATTTGGAATTTCAACCACAAACTTCAAGATTCTTTTTTGGGAAATACCTGATTATTAGGCACATAGAGCTGTTAAGGCTATTGGAAACAAGATGCGATGCTTCTGCTGACTGAAGGCTGAAAATTTCAGGTTCATCATTCTTTTCTGCTGTCTCCTTTTTTTTTTTTAAATCTTGGTTGGTCTTAACTTGAAAGTCTTACCTTACTTCTCTTTGAAGAAGGAATTTGCACGTTTGAAATGAAGTAGAGGCTAGGTCCCTGAAGTTATTTACAATTTTGTTTAAACTGGACAGTAAATTCATGGCAACCCTTTTCATGGGGTTTAACGCCACAGCAACTCAGAACCCCTCATGCAAAGCATTTAAAGCCCAATCAAACATTTGCAAGCCTCTAACAAAACTTGGGGGCAGATTATTTAACAGTTTGGGATTAAGGTTCTAGTCAATTACCATTTTAGCTAAACTCTCCCTGGTTTACCACCCTTTTTAGGTCCATCCTTTTCTGAGAAAGCTGATTCAGGGCTGGTCCTGCAATTTTTCTCTAATATTAGATCTACCAGCAGGTTTTTACTGTGTGGTAAAGGAAAAACACTACCTATACTACTTGCAAAAATTCACAAAATTCCCAACATTTTTCATTAGTGAGTTTCTTTTAACACATGATTAACAGAAGGCAGGTCCCAATCTCAAATGCAAAACAGAATCGGTTCTTAATATCTACAAAAGTTGGGATAAATAGAATACATGAAAGTTATGTACTGCTTTCTTAACTTCAATTTACAGATGGATGTTCTTTATCTTAGGATGGAAGAATTGCTAGTTTATTGGGTTAAGATCAAAAGGTAAATGTGCTTGTGTTTGAGTGCAGGATGGGAGGAGGATGGTAGTATTAAAATGAGGAATGGCAAAAAGAGAGAGGAGAGATTACCAGGAAGTCTAAGTAGGGGCACATGCCTGGTTAGAATTAAAAAAAAAAAAAAAAAAAAGAACATACTTTTGGTCTAGAGCATACTTCTGTACTTATTCACAAGATTGCTTATAATCCAAGACCATTTGTTCAGGCGGTTGAGTCTGCCACAGTGATTTTCTTATCTATTTACATAGAGACAGCTGACTTTCCCTGTGGGGATGGCAGTCAGCTTTTTGTGGGCTGGCATACTCAGGTAAGGCTTGAGCCAGCAGTTGTCACTGTCAAGCTGACAGAGGCCAGCAGGAGTGTCACCACTCCCCAGAGGTGACCCTGAATATAAGTGACTTTTGCTGTTCATGGAGGTGATTCCTCATCCTTTTCTCCTTTTGAAATCAAGTTGAGGCAGGAGCAAGACTGAGCTGGGAGCACAGGAAGAGTTTTATCTGACTGGTCACTCACCCAGTGACCAATTTAACCAGAAGCCAAGGTGCATGTTAGCACTCACTTGAACTCAACAGACTGTGGATCCTTTCCCATTGACTTAAGTTGGGCTTTGTTTCCCATCAGCTTCCAATAGGCCCATAAATAGTACTTTCTAAACAAAGGTAGAACATTTCTGATAGATGCCTTTAGTCTCCTGACTACTCATAGACAACTTTATATCCTCACAGTTTCCCCTCTCACAGTGTGGTAAATTTTTACAATGTTGCTGATAGACACAAATAACAAGAGAAGAAACACTAGAACAATAAGGAAGGGAGAATATAAATAATAAAAGCATCATTACCTGGTCCAAGTCTCATAATTTTGGGAAGCAGTCCTTTGTACAAGGCTAAAATCCTAGAACCAGAGAGGAAAAAGCAAAATTCTCATTCCAAAAATAAATGGAGTTAGACGTCAGCTTTATTGAGATGCTGGCCCAGCATTTAAAAAGAAACTATTTGAAATTGAACTACCCCAAACCTGACAGTATCTGGCTTAGCATTCCTTACTGAAATTTGGATGAGGGGAAAGAGTTAATCAATTCTTTATTACCCAGGCTATGCTGGTCTTGTCCAATCAGAAACATGACTTTCATCAGCAAAATGGTTTTTGCTTTCAAGACAGGTCTTGCTTTCAAGGCAGCTGTGTATATGGCCAAGATGACTTTTGTAATCGAATTTAAAAGACCACAAACTCAGTCTTCACATTAGGAAATATGATGCAGTTTAGAACAAAATAATAAAGTATCACTTGTTTACATGAGAATCAGTAATTGGTGAGGAAGGGTGAAGAGATAGTAAAATTTTTAAAAAATCAGAAAAGGCACATTTAAAATACAAAAAAATCTAATTTTACAGAATTCTCATATTTACTTCTCCCAGGAGAATATAATTAGGTGACATTTTTATTAGATTTAGTCAGAAGACAATAATTCTTCTACCCATATACTAATAAGACATGTAACACACAATAGCATATTATGCTAACTGACAAGAAGTTTATTTCATGGCACAAACTGGATGGTATAAGAACATTTTTGCCAGCATCTTGTTATTGTGTGGATTTGCAAAGTTTGTCATATAGTCCACAGAACTCCTTCAACACACACCCAATCTAGGAGTCTAACTGACTCCCACCAAAATAGAAGTACAATATGGTTTTAACAATACTTGGACCTTGCACACTTATTAAAGTAAGAATGTGTTACCCTTCTTCCTGATAGACTGTTGCCATTGTTTTAAAACAGGTTCTGTACTTGATCTCTCCAGGAACTGGCTGAGGTCCTTGAATCCTACTTTTGGCAACATCAAAAGGGATGTTAATGACTGAGGCTATTGTCCCAGAAAGAAGACCAATCCCAAATTTTCTCAAAAATTCCAAGGTTGGATCCTGAAAGAAAAAAAGAAAAAAAAATAACAGAAAGGGAAGTGGAAGCCCCTACATTGGTTAAACACTATAATGCAATATGTATTTAAGCAGAGCACTGCACTCCCTGGCACCCTCCTGTTACTCCAGCGGAACGCATTAGGATTTCCTAGGCTGGAACTTGTTTTCTTGACAATCCCATTGGCTATGTTTTTACACATGGTCTAAATTGCTGAAGTACACATTTCCTCACACAGGATTTATAAACACAGTTCATAAAGAAAGACTGGTATGGCATATGGGGATGATTTGTATAATTGGGCTTCACAATGTACTTAGTATTACTGTATCAAAACAGGAGAAATCCAAGCACACTATTAGCTAATTGGCCAGAATATTTTACAAATGACAGCAACTTCCACCATGAAGCCTACTAAAATGCTCATTTGTGTGTGGACCCCCAAATGTTAAATTAAATCAAGGCTACTCTCAGTCTGCTGCTATTCCCCTCCAGGTTTTTTGCATTTATTTTCACGTGTAGCTGATCCACTGTACTGAGAAGTGCTAGCTTCCTGTTATTAACAAACCAACTTGGGGCGGCTGCAAAACAGCCTGTGACATTCTGTGCATTATAAACAGTAGTAAGGCACTGGACTAATTGGCTGAAGAATTTATAACCCATTGTTCCTGAATCTTATTCTTCTTCATGGCAAAAGAAGAAAAGGAGAGCTGTGGGGAGGGGGTGCAGGGAGGGAGAGAGAGAAATATTTCCTTTTTCCATTTGAATTTAGGCTCTTCACGTTGGTCTGATTTGATTTTCCACCCCTCCCTGCTCTGCTCTCTGACATCAAAGTATTTAATTAGGTCTTATGTGGGAGTCACTTTCCTTCAGCCTATTTTTGTGCCCAGTGAGCTCACATTGTGCTTTGTTATAATGAATTTGTTGGGAAGTTCTCATTATGTTTGCAGCCTCAGTTCTTGCCATGAAGAGAAGTCATGGCACATATCATCAGCTGCTGATTCTGACTCCCATCTTATCCTTCTACCCCCCTCTCTTTTGGTGAATATTTCAGAAGCATCATCACAGAGAACAATACAGGTTGTGCCATGACATTATTTTATATGGCAAAACTAAGCGAGAGAAGCATACCCTGTGAAAGAAAGAAAGAAACAGAAAGAGAGGGAGGAAGGAAATAAATTCAGGTCTGAGCACTGCAGGTTTCTAGCTTCTATGGGAGAAGAAAACTCCTGGAGGCTCTGAAATTCTCAACTGAACCAGGAGCTAGTTACCATCACAAAAACTCCTATGAGGCTGAATATAAAAAGCAAGGGATTCAGTAATAATTCTTGGATCTAGGCCATACAGGTGCCGGGAGGTTTAAAGGGATTTAAAAACCAACAGGGTGTTTCTACAGGAAAAACAATGCAGTGATTGCAGTAAGAGTGAGGTGTGTTTAAATAATTCCCCCTCCCCCATTTTTTCTCTTTTACAAGGAGAGAAAAATGCCTTTATGTTGCCCTTCTCTATTATGGCATAGAAGCAGAACCGGAGCTCTGGAGGACGGCAAATTCAGCACCAGCTCAAGTTGTCTCAATTTGGATGAGTCACTGAATCCCGCAGAGCCTATGTATAGAGGGAAGTTTTTAACACCTACCTCACCTGGGTAGTGTCATTTTCTGAGAAATAAGAGTGATAAGAGGGGAAATATGCTATGAATGTTGTACAAGCCTAGCAGAAAATGGATAGTATTATGACATAGCTTGTTTTCTAGTTGCAAAGCATCCTGTAAAAATATGCCCTCATGGTGTCCCTGTGACACAACCAAGTTCTCTTTCTTTTTCTATTGAGCAAAAGATTGAAAATGATGACCATATGCACGTTATTCTTCTGAGAAGTTTAGCTGACATCATCAAGCATTCAACCTCTCCCATCTCCTGATGTATTTGCTGAGGACCAGGGATAGGAATGGAGTGTAAGCTAAGACATTGCAAGGTCACTGCTTGAGGCACTATTAGAGACCAAAACCTAAGGTTTCCAAGCCAGCAGTGTTCACTGGCCAAAGTGAGTGTCAACCCTACATTTTCTTAGAGACCAAAACCTAAGGTTTCCAAGCCAGCAGTGTTCACTGGCCAAAGTGAGTGTCAACCCTACATTTTCTGTACATTCCTCACCATAATGGTAATGTCCCACAGTAGATTCCAAATCCAGCTATGCATCAGAATCACCTGGCAGCTTTACAAATACAGATGCCGGGCCCCTATCTTGACCCAGCGTAGCTTCTCAGATCAGAATCTCTTGGAAAAGCACCTGAAAGTGGTTTTAAAAGCTGTCAGACTCCAGTTCTGGGAGCCAGTGATTTTGGTGTTCTATGCAAAGTTGATGGCTGCTTGCTGCCTTGTGGGCTTTCCAGGGTGAAAAAGTTCTTTTGGAATGTCTGAGAGTATTCCTCACCACCTGGCTTCTGAACTCTGATCAATTTCTTCCCCTGACCCCACAGTTTGCTTTATGACGTAATCCCAGCTGGGACTGGGTGAGCCAAAGAGGGCCCCCTCCACTCCCCTCTTCTATCTTCACTACATGGGGTCATGAACCATGTAGTGAAATTTAGTCTCTCAAATGCCTCCTTCTCTGTTCTCTCCCAGCCACTTCACCTCTCTGGCTTCACCAGGTCTTGCTTCCTTCCTGACCTATGGTCTAGTTTTCACAAAGACACTGGGGCTTTTTTTTTGTTAAGAGATTTGCTTTTGTTATCTTCCTACTCAAAGATCTTCAATACTTCCCTGATGGATCGAAACTAATGACAAAGCACTCTTTCAGTTTCCTTCACACGATACTCTTTCAACTTGTCTTACTAGCCTCAAGTGCTACATTCCTACACCCAGTCCATATTATAGTCACACTGGTTAATTCATACTGACCCAAATATACCAAGCACATTCCCACATTCCCAATTTTTGGCCTTTCTTCAAATTAATCCACAGCTGAGAATGTCCTTCTTTATCGTATTCAGTAAGGGCAATCTCATTTCTCCTTTAAGATCAAGCTTAAATCTCCCTTGCCCAAGAAACTTATGGATACCTATATCAGAGTTAATTTTTTCCTTTCCTCTGGCCTGAGACACTGTCTTAACTCCATAACCCTTGGTATGGTTCATTTTGTGTTTTGTTTATTTTGCATGTATCTATCTCTCTTGCTGGATTATGAGCCCATACAAAACAAGAGCTCGTGTTACATTTCTTTGCATTTTCTATTTTGTGGCGTACATAGTAGGTGCTAAATAAATAACTGCCAAATGACTATCAATGCACCTACTTATTTTACTGTTATACAAACATTAATCATTGATGATTCTTTCTCAAGATTCTTCATCTTCTTGCCAGGAAATGTACCTATTAGCACTCTTCATTTCCATCTTTCCATCAGGAAGCATCAATATGAGAGCAGGACAAGGCATTGGCATTTGGAAAGTATAATAGTTCAGAGTGGATAAATTGTGACTCTCAGGCCACAGAGCCACGCTCCATTGCCCACTGACTCTCAGCTAACAGCATGGCATGTCAGGCTCAGACCAGATTTTAGCAAAAATATACAACTGGAAATAGAGTGAGACTCAGAAATATTACTCTTTGCTTAGTAGGCAGAGGAATCCACTTCTGAAAGAATGAGCACTGTCGTAGCTGGATTACAGAGAGAAAAGGGTAGTATTTAGTATTTTGGTTTCAAATTAAGATCTTGATTATGAAGAGGGAAGTCCTGGAGGAGAAGCATCATCATCTTGGAGAAGATTGGTGGCAGGGAACAAAATTTGAGGAGTCCACATGGAAAGAAAGAGGCTCCACTAGTGGCTGTGGCCAGAAAGTCACCACAGGGAGGACCTCCTGCATACTGTACCATTCTTTACCATCCTGGGAAGGACCCTGTGGCTAGGGAGGAGCGCCTCCTTTGGCAGCTGCTATCCTGGCTGTCCTTGATAACTGCTGCCTAATCAGGCAGACATTGAGATCTGCATCATTCACAGGCCTGTGACAGACCTTCTAGTGATGACACTGCTGAACCTAGGACACTATGTTCCCAGCCTTCCTACTTGACCTTTTCCTTCCTACCATCCTCTCACTTCAGGTTAGCTACATCCTTTATTCTGCCATAGAAAAGGTAACAATTTTAATAACATTAAATGTTTAAGTATGTTTTCTGTGCCAGACCTGCTAAGGACAATTATGTATGCCTTAGGCCAGTAAATGTTTACAACCTTTGAGCTAATAACTATTATTATTATTCTTATTTTACAAACAAATTTGTAAAAGTTAAATATAGGAAGAGAATGTTCGTCACATTCAAGGGAACCCAAGACTTTGCCTCAAGGCATTTTGTTGCCTGGTATGAGTCCATGGGTGGGCTGGTGGGGAGATGTCCAAGAACTTCTCAAAATTATAAGCAGTGCTTCTGTGTATGTATATATGCTTTTCTGGGAATAGTGTCTATAGATTTTATCAGGCTTGTAAAAGCTTAAAAAAAAAAAACTTCACGAGAGCATTTTCTCTACCAATAAAGTAAGAAAAGTTTATAAAGTAAGAAAACTCCAGTGCAGGGTTAAAACAGTCTGATAATAAGAAGCCCAATTTTCACATACAGTTATCAAGCAATTCACCTTAGTGAACAGATTTCCACTCACGTTCCTGCTATGGAGTCCCATTACACATTACCTCAACCACATCCATCCACTCAGTGGCTCTCAATCCTGGGCCCAGGCCACCATCATTACCACCATGTGGGTCCTTATTAGAAATAAAAAGTGGTGTTTCACCCCAAACCTACTGAATCTGGAGATGGAGACCAAGAATCTGTTTAAACAAATTCTTCAAGTTATTCGGATAGTTGCCAAAGTATGAGAACCACTGTTTAACCGAAGTTTAAAATTCATCCTCTTTGGATCCTTGTGATGATAATCTATGCTCTAAGATTCATCTTAATCATTGGCTCTAAGAGGCTGTGTATATGCTGGGAAACATCTTAAAACTTTCAT